GCCCTCGCAAATTTTTAATGGTTTAAAGAACTCTTCATCAGGGTTGATGAACACTGATGCTACTTTTGTATCATTTGGGAACTATAAAATCAAGCCTTTGGGACATATTTCAATGGAATGTCATACTGAAACTGAGCATGCTTTTATTGATTTTTTCATTGTTGATTTCAATTGTATTCCAATTCTTGGGTTGCCAGACTGCTTGAAACTCAAATTATTCAAGAGATGTGATCACATTGATTATTTGTCCAGTAATAAAGAAAAACTTGTTGAAAAATATAAAATTGTTTTCGAAGGATTGGGAAAACTACCGGGTCAATATAAAATAAGACTTGATGAAAATGCTATTCCAGTTATACAGCCGAATAGAAGAGTACCACTATCATTACATGATAAATTGAAAGATAAATTAGATGAAATGGTGGAGAAGAATATAATTTCCAAAGTAGACTACCCTACTGATTGGGTAAATAGTTTATTACTTGTTGAAAAACCAGATGGTTCATTGAGATTATGTCTTGATCCGAAGCCCTTGAATAGATTCATTAAAAGAGAGCATTATATTATTCCAACATCAGAATATATTGTGAGTAAATTAGTTGGAAAAAAAGTATTCTCAGTAATTGATATGAAAGATGGTTTTTGGCAAATTTGTTTAGATGACAGCAGTTCAGATCTTTGTACTTTCAATACACCTTTTGGAAGATATAAATTTAAAAGATTGCCGTTCGGAATATCGAGTGCTCCAGAAATTTTCCAGAAGAAAAATGTTGAAATATTTGGAGATATACAGGGTGTTGAAATTTACTTCGATGATTTAATTATTGCAGGAATAGATGATGAACATCATGATAGCATTTTGAAAACAGTATTAGAAAGAGCATTAAAATATAATGTTAAATTCAATTTGAAAAAATTACAATACAAATTCAAGGAAGTTAAATTTCTGGGACAAATAATATCTGAAAATGGTATAAAACCAGATAAAAAAAATGTTGAGGCTTTATTGAGTGTGAAAAGTCCTTCTAATAAAAATGAATTGTTGAGAATATTAGGATTAACAAAATTTTTCTCCAAATTTATTCCGAATTTATCACGACTAACTACAAATTTGAGAGAATTAACCAAAAATGAAGTTAGGTGGCAATGGACTGATAACCATGAGCAAGAATTGAATAATCTCAAAGATATTATGACAAAAGGACCTGTATTAGGAATATTTGATAGTAATAAAGAAATAATCATTCAGACTGATGCTTCAAGTGAAGGTTTAGGTTGTTGTCTACTACAAGAAAATCCAATAGCTTATGCGTCTCGTTCCCTATCGAAAGCAGAAAAAAAATATGCTCAAATTGAAAAAGAACTTCTAGCTATCGTTTTTGCTTGTGAAAAATTCAATTATTATATTTATGGAAGAGATATCATCGTTCATTCAGATCATAAACCACTTTTATCGATTTTTAACAAAAATCTTGATAGTGTTTCAACAAGATTACAACGGATGTTGCTGAGATTATTAAAGTATAGTTTAAAAATTGTTTATGTACCAGGAAAGAATATGAATGTCGCTGATACTCTATCAAGATCCTTCTTAGATGCATTCGTTCCGGATGATCCTGAAATGACTTATCTTGTTCATACATTAGCATTGCATTTACCAATAACGTCAGAAAAAAGAATAATGTTCAAAAGTGCTACCAGTGAAGATGCAGTTTTATCTGAAGTTAAAAAATATCTTTTAGGGTCATGGCCACGTCATAATACTTTGTCAAGTGATTTAAAACACTATTTCAAATTGAAAGAAAATCTGATTGAATCAGATGATCTGCTTTTCTTCAATTCCAAACTGGTAGTGCCTAAAACTTTGAGGAAAGATATGTTGAAACTTATACATGAGAGTCATTTCGGTATAGAAAAATGTAAAATGAGAGCTAGACAAGTATTCTATTGGCCGAATATGAATAATGATGTAGAAGAAGTAGTATCTAATTGTATTAAATGTCAAACATACAGGCGATCTAATCAGAAAGAACCTTTGAGATCTCTACCTATTCCATCACGTGCCTGGGAAAGACTACATACAGATATATTAGAGTATGAAGGTAAAAGTTTCTTGATACTTATTGATGCGTTTTCCCATTGGATTGAAGTGGCTCAACTGAAATATAAGAGTGCTGTAGAAATTTTAAAAATTTTGAAATCAATTTTTGGGAGATTTGGTTATCCAGATGTGTTATTTGCAGATAATAATCCATTCAATTCAAAATTATTGAAAGAATTTTCAAATGAGTGTAGTTTTGTGATCGAAACATGTAGTCCATATCATCACAAATCTAATGGTTTGGCAGAAAAAGCTGTTAGTATTGTTAAGCAGATGATGAGGAAAAAAAATGATGGTGATGGTGATGATATCTCCCAGTCTCTTTTAGCTTATAGAAATACACCAATACCAGATATTGGGTATTCTCCCTCCCAAATGTTTTTAAACAGAATTGTCAAAACCAAAATTCCAATTACTGTTGAAAATTTGAAATGTGAAATTATAGATCCAAAATCAATTGTAGAAATATTAAAGAGAAATAAAGAGAAGCAAGCATATTATTACAACAAAAATGCTAAAGTTCTTCCTAAATTGAAACCCAATGATGATATTTTCATAAGACGGAAAGATAAATGGGTAGCTGGAAAAGTTATTAATCAATATAATGACAGAGCATATATTGTTAGAAATGAGGATAATCATGAATACAGAAGGAATAGAGAATTCCTTAATAAAACGAATATTCCTTTCAAACAGTCCTGCAAGCTTAGTGATATTACTGATAATCTTAATTCTGAGTCGGTAATTGAAGAACCGGTATCTAATGATATCATTGCAGCAGAAGAAAGTATACTCGACTTTGATATTCTCAATGAGCCCAGTGACAGTATGGCATCTCCTTTGATCTCTAAGCCCAAGAGAATAATCAATCGTCCACAGTACTTGAGAGATTATGTAACTTAAAAAAAAAAAAAAAAAAAAAAAAAAAAAAAAAAAAAAAAAAAAGGAAAACGTGTTATGTTATATAGATTTATAGTTGCCTCTGAAAAATGAATGTTTCATTTAGGTGATCATGACCACGAATACACATGTCAGGTTGACATAGAGAACATATCATACTGAACATAAGTTGAATATTTAAATATCAATAAAAATATAAAAATAAGTGCCTAGTTATTACACTAATAAAGTTTGATAAAAAAAAAAAAAAAATAATATGCTATTTCGTGAATATGTGAAAATTTTAGTATATTCTGCTAACTAATAAATTTACTGGATATCAGACACACCCTTACATGTTTACCATTATCCAACCTGATATAGCACGTAGCACGAAATTGAGTTATTGCACACGATAAATACTATAATCTGGCGGTCAAACCCTTCTTCCCACCAATTTCAACAAGCGCATTCACCAAAATATTAATAGGATGAATTTGTCTCTGACTAATTCCACTCTTGTTATCGAGAACCGATCAGAATCGACCATTGTCACGGTTTCTTCTGTAATTCAGCGATATTTTCGGTTTACTAAATTTTCTCGGATTGGCTCTACCAATACAGAAACCGAATTGACCCACACGGGACCAACCAGACTAGTTTTTCAGCAATAAACTTGATGATAATTGTAATGCCCCCAACTTTCTTCGTTAGTTGGCCTACTACAGGGGGTCGTTACAAAGTAAGTTTTCCTCGATCATTGGGTTCCTTGATTATTGAGGCAGGAGGCAGACTGAGATTGTAGACAATAAGACAACATATAGATAGTTACTGAGACATATATTCAGGCAGAATGGTCAGGCAGAGGTTACAGGCAACAAAATCAAAGTTTGCTAGTTTGCTTACATTTTAGATTGCACATTATTGTTACACTGTTCACTTGTTTTTTCAATTGGCGAGAGATTCACTTCACTTTTACGTCTTAGTCACCAAAGTTGCAGATTACAATAAATCTACCTGAGTGGTCACTTACACAGGTATTATTAACGAAGTTCACTGGTACTGTTCGAACGTAGCATGTTTGATAGACAGATACAAAGTCGGCTGGATACGTTTTGTATTGAGTCACGTTTAAGACTGAAGTTGAAGTCGAATTTTCCTGCTTTTATACTGAATTTTGGCAATAAATTTCGAGAGAATCAATTAAATATGAGGTAAGTTTCATGTTGTGTTTATATTGAGCAAGATTTCTAGTAAATTTTTGAGCAATAAATTACGGATATCAGGATTAATATGCGAAACTGAAAAGATTTTGCTGTAGTTCTGAATTGTTATGATGATAGATAATTTCAAGCTATAACTCATACTCTTAATGTGAACAAAACTGTCATTTACTATAGTATTCCATTAACCCTTTTTCAAGTAATAATTCAATGTGGTTTATGATTCTCATTAATTTTTCTCGGCTTTAATTTGCACAAGTGAGATGATTTCGATGTAACTCTCCAATGTTATGATAATAATTCACTTCAGGAATATTAACAAAATTGACAATTACATGCTCTTTCCTTTACGTATTTGAGCTAAATAATAATTTATTGATCTTTCGAGCCAATCAGATTAAAGTCACTCCCTCTTTACTGAACTTATAAATTCTCTGCAAATTCTCATCAACGTCATTTTTGTCTCTCAATTCGGTCCTGTGATATCAACCTGCTTCGTTCTCAAGTGACCAGTGAATTCGTTTTACAAAGGTAACGTACCTACTTATTCTATACATTTGTTTATGCTAATGATGCTGCACTCAATTCAAAATAGACATTCGTCCGTTCACGTAATAATATTGCCTAGTAGACGCATGATAAAAGTTATTTTTATTTAAGACAATTATTGTTCACTGTACTTAGTTCAAAAGAATTCAGAAATTTACATAATTTTGTCTAAGATATACCCGTTCATTACATAATCAAAACGTCAATCATGTTCAATCATGAATCAACCTGTATTATAATTATTACAGATGGAAGAGAACAATGCTACGATGTCTATAACGAGGCGATGTGTGATAGCCGTCTTATGTGAAAGGACCAGTCTGTTTCTTCTCGTTACTGGATACACTCTCCTGGGAGCCATCATTTTCAAAGCGATAGAAGGAGGGGAGCCTCACGATGTACCTGATGATTTCAAGAAAAGCAGAGAGGATTGCTTGAAAGAGCTATGGATGATAACAGGTATGTTTCCAGCAAAAATTGTCATGGATTCGAGTGAGGACGATTGAGGACGAACCTACTTCATATTGGTCATTACGTGTATAAATAGTATTTGTTGCAATCATTCGTTATTTCAAAGCATGACAAATATATTTTTCCCAATAATTATTAATCTGAATCCTAGCTTTCACATCAAAAGTAGGACCACATATTCAGAAGCTGCCAGATATAATTCAATGTTCGTCGTGGTATATAGCCAGGAAAGTAGTTGTGAGAAAGAATTGAAATTTTCATCACATAGAGAATGCGAATTCTCAATGTATTTCTCCAAATATACAAGATGTTTCTACTCTTTTTCAGTTTATTCAATAGAAAACAACTACTTTCCTGGCTATATGCCACGACGAACATTGAATTATATCTATTGAACACACACGATAAGAGTTTGAAAATAAAATATAAAAACTTCTGGAATTGAGAATTTGCATTCTCCTTCAGACAAAAATATGTATATGCACACATCATTCTGAATATTCAACAGAAAACAACTACTTTCCTGGCTATTTGCCACGTCGAACATTGAATTATATCCGATGAACATTCAAAAAGAGAACATGAAAAATAAAAAATAAAATCCCCCGAAATTGAGAATTGAAATTCTTCTTCAAATTGGATAAATAATATGATGTATAAAATGATATAGAAATATAACTTACCAATATATTCAGCATTGAAATGAAAATTGGGATGTATAGGAGAAGTATATACTGGCATTAACTCTGATCTTGATGAGCTTGAAAACTTCCAGAGATAATCATTCATATCAGTGATATGGGAAATATTATCTCTCACACACAAGTTATATGACTTTATTGCAATGAAACCATTTCGGATTTCTGAATCCTCACAGTAACCATGATGTACACTTATTCTTACAGCCATTCTTCATGATATACACAATTTTCTTCTCTCTATAATACAACTAAAACCGAGTGAAACTATAACAAAATGACATCTGAGAAAATTTGTTTTCTATTGAATAAACTGAAAAAGAGTAGATATTCTCATCACATAGAGAATGCGAATTCTCAATGTATTGCTTCATATAAATATATATCCATTTTTGTATGTCCATAATTTATCTGAGAATATTCCTTTTCAACACTTAGATTTTCAACGTTTCAATAGGGCTCTGATATTTGGTTATTTATTGAAGAAGATAATGGATGAGTCCAAAACAGGTGATCTCAGACCCAAATTATCATATATCATTGAACTCGTCTTTCTGAGCTCTATCCAAGGACTAGATGAAATTCAGGGTAAAGTTGACATTACAAAAAAAATAAAGTTTATATATGATCATAAACAACTTCGAATCTCAATGGTTTTTGTATCTATTCTAGTTTATGTCCATGTTATGTGGGATAAACTGCACATACTAACCGGCCATCGACCTTACGAGAGGTCCTTCAGGTCAGGTGTGTTCTGTGTGGGCTTTGTTACTAACTTCATAAGCCACCTTAATTGAAACGCAACAGCGAATTGTGCGGAAAATCATCTCCGGCCGTGGTAAAGAAATTAGAATTTATAGGCCGTGTTATGAATAAAAGTATTTCGATGTTCTGATTACTAGTCGATGATTACTGGTCGACCACCTCAACCACTGCGCTATTCCGCTGTCTAATGAACTCATATTACTGTAATCTAATGTCATCTTTTCACTCAAAATTGTCAGCTTTATATTCTACGATATCTCAATTCCAACTGGACATCTGATACTCACTTGCAGGAAGCATTGAAGATAAACTGAGTCGAAAGCGCATTGATACACGAAACAGTAAATTGAACTCCTTTCATCTACTCCTACTTCATTCAGCTATCCCCAATCGTTGGAAAGCTGAAAAACTTTTAATGACCATTTTAAAACTTTCTCAAAGCCTTATGTGGCGGGTATGATGAAAAAATATTTCCATTAGTGTTTTCCAAGAAATAATCTCATTAGGTGCCTATTTGATGACACTGATTTTTATGTGTCTTTATCTATCAGATATCATCTTCCTAGTGCGTTAATACCAATTTCAAATATCAACTTTCTGATCAATCCTTCTATTACATAGAAATATGTTATATCTGGAATTTACTATACAGGTTCTTGATGAAACAGTATACTGATGAATTCAGATAGGTTTTTTCAATCCTCCTCCTGTATGTTTCTAGCAAGACATCTTTCAGAGAAGTTTTGTCAATTATGATTATCGCAATTCCTAGATAGTCAAACAAGAGAGATGTGGTCAATTTTTGGAAGATTGTTGACTTATATCGTCCAAGATATCGTGAATTATCACCCTGTAGCATCATGACGACCTCTATACCTGGAGGATATACATACAGGGTGACATTTCGAAAACTCCGTACCCTCCATATCTTCCTTCCAGTTGTTAATATGAAGAATTATTTGATTGAATGATCGATAAGTCGTTTTTCATGAAGACATGTTCGTAGAAGAATAGTAATATAATCTTTGAATAGAATGGCGACCGTTGAATGTGATTTCTGGTGTTGAGTTGGCGGGAATTCGGTCGAAATGTTGAAGAAAACCAATTTTTAAATTGTCGACGTTCGTGTCTGTGTTAAGGTCTTTCATGAACCTGTGTGTACGCATTTATACTTCATGTCGATTTTATTTATTTCACTATTTTTAAACCCGGAAAGCCACCCTAAATTGTCCTGAAGATGAAACAATAAAGTTTCGAAACGTCGACAATTTGAAAATTGGTTTTCTTCAACATTTCGACCGAATTCCCGCCAACTCAACACCAGAAATATAATCTTTATTCGAATTTAATGTTCATGAAAACTTATCTTAGAAAACTCCATATTCCGTTAATCTGTCTGCATCACAAACGAAAATAGGGTTCTTGTGAGTGCTGGTTCTGAAATGCTGGAATATCTGCCATAGTTAACATTGTTTCTGGAATATCCTGAAAAAACCTCAGATTAGTATTATGCTTTTCTAAGTGCGCCATATATAATTCATTATAATTTACATTTCATTTCTCTGGAAAAAACTGGTATGGAGCCACTGTTCATACCTAACTCTAAGAGGCGACACCCTCCTTTGTAGAGAGGAATTACGAACGCCAAAGTTGATACACTCCCCTCGTAAGGGTACCGGACGTGATTCCATACACTCACAATGTCGACTGTTTGATTAAATGATCGATAAGTCGTTTTTCATGAAGAAATGTTCGTAGAAGAATAGAAATATAATCTCTATTTGAATATAATGTTCATGAAAACTCATCTTGGAAATCTCGTTATTCCGTTATTCTGTCTGACTGATGTTGAGCTCCTAAGTGATGTGTCACAAACGAATATAGGGTTCTTGTGAGTACTGCTTCTGAAAAGCTGGGATATCTGCTATCGTAAACATTGTTTCTGGAATATCCTGAAAAAAACTCAGATCACTATTATGACTTTTTAATTGCGCCATATATTATTCATTATAATTTACATTTTTCAAGGAAAACATGGGTCTTCTTCATATATCACAGCTTCATTGAAGTAACGACTGTTGCTTCCCTAAAGTGCACAAATAATTTGGAAAAAAGTGATATGGAACCATTGTTTATACCTTACTCTTGAAGACGACACCCTCCTTTGTAGGGAGGCATTACGAACGCCAAAGTTGATACACTCCCCTCGTAAGGGTACCGGACGTGATTCCATACACTCACAATGTCGACTAATTTTTCGACGGTTTGATTGAATGATTTCGTCGTCGTTTTTTATGAAGAAATGTTCGTAGAAGAAAAAAAATATGATCTCTATTTGAATTTAATGTTCATGAAAACTCATCTTGGAAATCTCCTTATTCCGTTATTCTGTCTGACTGATGTTGAGCTCCTAAGTGATGTATCACAAACGAATATAGGGTTCTTGTGAGTACTGCTTCTGGAATGCTGGGATATCTGCTATAGTAAACATTGTTTCTGGAATATCCTGAAAAAACCTCAGATTACTATTATGCCTTTTCAATCGCGCCATATATTATTCATTATAATCTACATTTCTCAAGAAATACATGGGTCTACTTCATAGATCACAGCTTCATTGAAATAACGACTGTTGCTTCCCTGAAGTGCACAAATAATTTGGAAAAAACTGGTATGGAACCACTGTTTATACCTAACTCTTGAAGGCGACACCCTCCTTTGTAGAAAGGCATTACAAACGCCAAAGTTGATACACCCCCCTCGTAAGGGTACCGGACGTGATTCCATACACTCAAAATGTCGACTGATTATTCGACTGTTTGATTGAATGATCGATAAGTCGTTTTTTATGAAGAAATGTTCGTAGAAGAATAGAAATATGATCTCTATTTGAATATAATGTTAATGAAAACTCATCTTGGAAATCTCCTTATTCCGTAATTCTGTCTGACTGATGTTGAGCTTCTGAGTGATGTGTTCTAGTCCCCGCGAGATTAACCCGTCGAGTAGAGACTTCGCACCCCTTCGTGGTCACTTTGGAGACTTGCCATCTCTTTCCGAAGACTCGTTCATCCAACGAGGCTCTGGAACACATTGCCAGGAGAGGTGTTCCCCGAGGCATATAACCTCCAGAAATTTAAGGACACTAATTCCTACCTTATTTCCCTTGGTTCTCACGATGTTCTCTGAATATACAGGATATCACTTTTCGTGGGAACCAGAATATAAAAAAAACAATGTCTCCAGCCGAATCCATAGGCATTCGAGAAAGAATCACTTGTATCAGTATTCGTTTATACGAGTCGATGCAATTTCGTGAGTAATTCAATGTTCTGCGTAGCATTAGCCAGGAAAGTAGTTGTTTTTCTCCTGAAATCTACCATTGTTGTTCATTTCATGAACATTGTGTGGAAATTACTTTGAGCTTTATGTATTTATTTAACATTTCATTTCCCTTTGAACATTGTGGCTATTTCGTAGTTGAAATAACTATAGTCCTCCAGCTCCTAACTCAAGTTGCATAAAAAACTCCTAATTGCTCATTATCTCATGCTTATCTGAATAAAATTCCAACGTTGAAGGTGCTTTCCAGTGTTTCTCTCTCCTACATAAAAGACTATGTAATGATGTATTAAGGAGTTGAATTACTTTACGATGTTTCTTAGTTAAACGGGTAATTCGTAAGTAATTGCACATCGAAAAACTTGAAGTCCGGATATTCTCACTTTCATCGGTAATTAACCGAGAGAAAAGCCAATTTACGTAAAACACTTTTCTGATTAAACCATTTCAAAGAGCCTCCAACACATTTCTGCAAGGGTCGGAAGAGGTTATTTAGCTCAAAGAATTAACAGGTTGCGTAATCCGAAAATTATATGATCATTCAGACGTCTTTCGTGATGGCGAAGAATATGCTAGATTCAACCCTCTTGTTTCGAACTCCATTCAATCAGGAAAATGATTGATTACTCGCCTTTCTCCATCAGCATTGTTGAAGAGAAGTATGATCAATATCATTCATAAATTTTACTTGATCTACGAATTTCTCTTCTCGTTTCTATATGAAATAGAAATACACTCAGTTCCAAAAAAAGTGACGCACTTGATATTTGACCTTTCTTCATAAAAAATAAAATAGTAGCCCGATTTTTTCATTTGTTGGTGGGTAATGCATTTCTCTTTAAAAAAAAATGAAGGGGTGAAAATTTTTTCAAAGCCTCCTTGATGGTGGTGGAATAACTCGAACCATGATTTATTCTTAATTTTTGACTCACCCTGTGTGTTATTTGAATAATGGTATACAAAGTGCTTGCACCCTATACGAGAAAGGTTTTTTTTGCGGGCATTTTGATTCTTTATTCATTGATTTATCTCTAAAATTTTCCGAATTACAGCTTTTTTGCTGATACCTTAATCTACTTTGCTGCAGAGTTGAACATATAATTTTTTCTCCGATTGTTCATAATGATATAGGAGGATATTGTATTTGCAAATTTTTACAATTCTCACAATCTCTTTATTTTTACTGTATTGTTCAATTGAAATAAAATTTGATAGAAATGTCCATAATAATTATAGTTTGACAATTCATGAAATTTATGACAGGTGTGCGAAAAAATATCGGTTTATTCAAATTATTATATAATGGACAGTGATAGCGACCTGGAAGTACTTACACCTTCAGAAATAAGGGAGGTGGCAAAAAATATACAGTTGAATTTGTTGCCGGAGAAGTCTCGAATGAAATTTGAAGGAAATTATAAACGATTTATGGATTATTAATTTTGCTGATACATATCAATCAGCAAAGTAACCGTTTTGCTGCCTAGGCAGCAAAGTACCCTCTTTGCTGCATAGGCAGGAAGAGTAATACTTTGCTGATCGATATGTGTCAGCAAAATTAATATTTGCTGCCAATCGGAGAAAAAATAAATTTATTGAAGGATCAGAGTACTCAAAATTGATTGGGTTGTACTCTGGTAGGATCACATTGTCTTTAAAAAAACAAATGCCGTTGCCATAGCAACCAATTTGTTGTATGCCTCCATATTTGACCATTTGTCGTTGTGTCATTAATTAAGTGTCTTGTTTTATTGACTAAAATTACATAAAATGCCTCAAATAAATCCTGAACAAGTAGCAAGATTAGTTGCGTTAGTAAACGATGGGCGTAGTGAACGTTACGCCGCTCATGCAGTGGGAGTTCATGAAGCAACTGCTCGTAGAGCAATACGCAAGTACGAACAAACAGGAAGCACCGCTCGGAGGGTCAGTTCTGGTCGCCCCCGAAAAACTTCTCCAAGAGATGATCGCTTCTTGAGATTGCGGATTTTACGGAATCGATCAAATACTGCGGTGAATGTTCAGCAAGATCTTCGCCAAATTCGTGATGTTGCAGTAAGTAAGCAGACGGTATGTAGACGTCTGAAAGAAGTTAATTTCAAAGCTAGGAGACCTGCA